AAACGAATCGTGAAACACCAACATGCAAACAGCAAAATACCTGAAAGTGCACACAACCGCGAGCAGCAAATGCACAATGCAAAGAAAGACAAGAGACAGAAAACAAACACCAACGCAGAGTAGCGAAATTAGATACAACCGGGCGTCAAACAATATCGGCAGACAGAGATGAGACATCCAGCAAAACGAAGAAAGAAAGAAACAAAGAGAAGGAAGAAAGAAAGCAAGGGAGCAGGCGAAGAAAGAGCCGGAGAAAGACAGAAAAGAAATAAAGCAAACAAAAGAAGGAAAGAAAGGAGAATACAAGGATACATAAACATAATACAACATTAGCGAATACCCGAATGCAGAGCCACCAGAGCAGTAACAAGGAAAAGCATCAAAGTTGCGCCTTCCCAGGACATCATCGGCCATTGGTCTCCGTCTGCAGCAAAAGAGGAGAGAAAAACACGGAAAAGCAAAAATAAATAAAAGACACCACAGATATGCAACAAACAATAGATGAACAAACAAGCATAAAATGCATTAACACTACCGTCTATGGTGCTACTGCTGCCTGGCAGAAGCAACAGCACTTGTCTTGCTAAGTAAGCGAGCAAGCCAGGAGAGGAGACATATATTTCTTTGCGAAGGGAAAAAAGCTAGAAACCACAAACTCAACATTCTCTCACCGTCTAAATCATCTTTGAAAAGACCGATGTGCGTGTACAGCTGAAAAAATAGGAATAAGCAATACGTCACTCCAATAAGCAATGCGGTAATGCGGCTTATCTGTAGCAAAACGCAAGACATGCAGACAAAGCAAAGAAAAAAGCATCAGTGCTTCTTGCCTCCAAAGGCACAAAAGAACACCTGCACATTCGTAAATATGTACAAAGGAGTGTGCATATATATGCATATATATGTATATATATATATATATATATGTATAAATAAATATATATATATATATATGTAGAGCGATGGTTTCTCTCCGCTCTATGCACTGCATCGAAAGCAGAAAACGCCAACACCTCCCCAAACCCTAAACCCTACACCCCAAACCCTAGACACTGGAGTCTTAAATTCAAGCTCGCATGCCCCTCTTCAGCTGCCATACGAACGGGAATAAAGAATAGAGCAACGAAACAAAAAAGGAAGCAGAAAACCACTACATAGGCAGAAGGAAGCAGAAGAAGGAAACGATGCAGCTAAGCACAGACAAAAGGGAGAGGAAGGGGAGGCAGCAAGCAGCACGCTGCAGCTAGCTGCTATCTAGCTAGAGGCAGCTAGCTAGCGGCTAGCAGCTAGCTGGCAGCTAGCTGCTGCAAGCCGTAGGTAGCTGCCGCACCATCAAAATGTTGTACGTCCCGTGCTGGCCATTGTCTACAGCTGCAACTGTCGGAATAACGATGCCCATGCAGGAGAGCAGCAGTAGCGTCACGCTGCAGGTGGCGCCTGAGAAAGAAACAATACAGATGAGCGATTTGAAAATGCCAGTATAAATTTATCCATTTACTTACACAGATGTACATAAATACATGTACATATATGCATATATATATATATATATATATTATGTATGCATATAAATAATATATCCATACAGGTAAGCAGCACAGAAATGTATACATTGAATAGCTATACAAAAGGCATGCATTTAGAGCTGTACTTAACTACACCAAACATGAATAAATACACAATAAAAACATGCATATACACAATAATATATACATAAAGATGTAGCTATTGAAAGGAGTTATTAATAATAAGAAATGGCGATGCTGCTGCGTCTCTACTTATCCCCAAAAGGGATGCATGCAAGCCACAAGTCCTTTTCTGTTTGTCGCATTGCTCTTGATTAGCTTGTCTGTTTTTCTTCGTAAATATGTCTCTGACTTTGTGTCTGCCTCTGTTTCTGTCTCGCTGTCTCTCTGTCTCTGCTTTCTTCTTTGTCTTCATCTCTGGCTCCGTCTGTCTGCATTTGTCCCTATATCTCTGTCTCTCCCGTCTCTTTGTTGCCCTGTCTCTCTCTTTGTCTCTCTCTTTGTCTTCGTCTCTCTCTATCTTTACGTCTGTGTCTCTGTCTCCGTCTTTATCAAGCAAGCGAACACAAAGGAGAGCCGAAGACAGTTTCTGTTGCTTTAAACTCCATACACGTAAGCGCAGAGAGGCAAACAAACACCGACAAAAATAACAACACCACCAAAAAGAAGAAAATAACAAACTGCTGCCTCTTTACCCTTCTCATTGAACTTCTGCAAGTAGTGCCATAGGCCTCCAGCGAAGAAAGACATTCCCAAGACGAGCAGCAAATTAGACAAAATAGAACCCAATAGAGTTCCCTTCACCACTTCCAGTAGACCCTAAAGAAAGCAATAGTGAGAAAAGGAGTAAAATAAAGGAAGAAGAAGAGCAGAAGGGGACGAAGAAACGAAAAATCAACAGAAGAAGACAGAAGCAAAACGAGGAGACGAAAAAAAGGAGCAGGAGAAGCGAGGGAAGGCAGAAGGAGAACAAGCAGAAGAACAAGACAAAAAAGACAAACTATAAACAAGATAAATAGACAAAACGATTTCCGCGTAAGTCCTTATCAACATAAAACCTCCAGGGGAACCCATCGCTTCATAGGCCCCTCCCCCAAGCCCTAAACCCTAAACCCTAAACCCTTGACAGGGCTTACGATGCGCAGGGCTTGAACAGACAAAATCATTTCTACGGCGTTGCCAAAAGTGGCGTTGAGGAGGCCTCCAGTAATTTCTAAGCAAACAAACGGCAGCAGGAGAAGAGTGACAAGAGATAAGAGAAAACGGAAGCTGTTTCGATCCTTAAGTGCTACTGCTCTCCTATTCTTCTTTTCCTGCTGCATTGAACAAAGGAGACGAAGAACAGAGGCAAGTGGCTGTTCCTTCGCCTTCAGGTGTCTGTCTTTTCTCTTTCTCTCTCATTCCGTTACGGGAAGATCTCCCTCTCATGCGTCACTGCTTGCTGCCTGTAGCTGCTAAACCCGAAACCCTGAACCCTAAATCCTAAACCCTGAACCCGCGAGCTTACCGCCTGTGTGCAGCGACAGTTCCTCAGTAAATGCTCCTAAGAGAGCAGATAAAGGAATAAGTGCAGCGAAATTAAACAAAAAAACAAAAATAGTCGGCAACCCCCCCAGACGGCTCCATAGGCCAAGAGGGGCAAAGAGCAGCAGCAGCTGCGTCCTGTGCGCAGCACAATATCACAGTTGCCTTCATTTAATTTTATCCAATACAAAAAGTGAAACAATAAATCAAATGGCTGCTCCAGCACCACCGCCGCTCGTTGCTGCTGCTGCAGCAGCAGCAAGAGGAGCAGCAAAAGCAACAGCAAGAAGAAAAGCAGAAGCCGCAGGAGCATCAGCAGGGGAAGCAGTATGATAAAAAGGAGCAGCAGCAAGAAGAGCAGCGACAGGATGGGCATCTGCAAGAAGAAACACCGACAGCAGCGGCGGCAAGAGCAGCAGCAAGAAGAGCAGCAGCAGCAACAGAAGCAGCAGCAGGAAGAGCATCGGCAGGCATAGCAGCAGAAAGACGAGCAGCAGCAGGAACAGCAAAACCAGCATAAGAAGACGCAGCATCGGCACGAGCAGCGCAAGCAAGAGCAGCATAATCAGGCACAGCAGCATCATAAAGAAAGCAGCATCAGCACGACCAGCGCCATCCCTGCTGCAAACAGTTGATGTGTTTGTTGTTTACTTGGTGAGGCAAATTTCCTTAAGTCTGGCGACGTCTTCTCTTAGAGTGAATCTCAGAGGTCCTTCGTTGAGATCCCCTTCTGTTCCTTCTTCTTCAATTGTTTCTGTTCCTAAACCCCTTAACCTCGAGCTGCTGCTGCCATCCGCTAGCAGCCCCAAGTGCAGCTGCCGGTTGGGGGCTGCAACGCTGCCTACGATATTCCCTGCAGCAGACGCAGAGACAAATGCACATGCAGCAGCAAGAGCTCCGTTGTACGCGCAGCCCCGTCAAGTCGGTTCACTCTGGAAAAACGCAGAAAAAAACAAATGAAACGCATGAACAGACAGGGAGTCAAACAACGAACGCAAAGAGAAGACCCCTGTACATACACCGCACAGCAAAAAGGAAGAGATGGGATTCAGTACAAAAAGCATGCATATCAACGGCCCTCTCGCCCCAACCTTGTAGCTTGCAGCGGCCCTTCCTTCAGCAACAGCAGACGCAGCAGAAGCGTCTGCTGTTGTTGCTGCTTCTGCTGCAGCAGCAGCAGCAGACGCAGTCGCAGCAGCGCATATGGGAGTGTCGGCAGAAGCAAATGAAGAAAGGGAAAGCTTCCACTGCAGAGATGCCGAAGACCGGCAGCCAGCGTAAGTACAGCAAGTTAAATGGAGTATAATTTTTTCCAGCTGCAGGGATCTCAGTCGTACACAAGCGCTATGCATGCAGCGTGTAGCGCAGGGCACAGAATGGAAAGATGCATGCAGCATTATGCATGCAGCATGCAGCATCAACAGCTGCTGCGTTGTACTTGCCTCCTGGGTCTTGTATATCTGCAGCAGGCGCCACTCCTGTCCCATCAGGTAAAGGGGTTAGAGCGGCAGTAACTCTCCTTTTGTTGAGGGGCTGAGAGAGGGTGCGGCGAACGTAAGAAGTCGCGCGGACTCGGTGCATAACCATCTTGTCAAATAAAGAAGAATGATGAAGAAGACGAAGATTCTATCAAGAAGTCTCACCAACAACAATGCTAATTCAATACAATTAGAGAAAGAAAATCTGAATGAGCTTTATATACATTTACACGTTTGAAACTATCAGGAACCTCCCGCTGCCTCTGCAGCGTCAGTATCAACGCAGTGTGCAGATTCTAATAGACTAAATAAACAAATTTGCAAGAGCTAAAGAGCCTAAAAGAGCACAAGGCAAGAAATGCAGCTGACGGAAGAGGAGATGAAACAGCGCCAGTCTGCAGCTCTCGTGGGGTGGTAAAGCAGATGGTCCTGGGGGTTGTTTATCTGCATTACAATGAAGAGCGAAAGAATAAATAAAAACTAAGTAAGAAAAATAAACTCCTTCTCTCTAAAGAAGAAAATGAAACAAACCAAGCTTGTGAACCGAGCTGCAGGAAGCTAGTTTCGTAGGGAGCGCATGGTACAGCGATACGAACACGAAGTGGAATTAAATGCCTTTTTATGACTCCCAACTTCTGTTCAAACAGAATAAAAGAACATTTCCGCAAGAAAACACAAAAAATGCGGGTTTTCAGCGGTTAGTCAGCAGCATGTTGTGGTGAGCCGCTCTGCTCCCTCGGCCGAGACCCAGTATACCCCAGGTGTCGCTGCAGGTCTCCATACGAAAATAGAAAATGTTTAATCAACGAATTAATTAAGTAACGAAACTTAATAAGCATTACTAAAGCGAAGAACAAAACCACAAAAAGAAGCAGTCTTCCAATCCGTACGGTGCCGCCGCAGCCCTGCTAATAATACAAGGGAGGCACACGTTTCTCTACGTTGCAGAACGAACGATTTCGTTGTTTTCTTGTTGTGCTGTAGCATTTCTGCAGTGATGTTATGCAGCTAAAATGTTAAGTCGCCTAAATTATTAACTAAACCCTGCGTTTGTCTTCCTTTTGCATCAAAGATAGCCCCCAACACCCCCGAGATGGCTGTTGCGACGTGTTACAGTTAACGCTCCCTTGGACCATTACGCGCGTCTTCGTCTGCACTTGCAAAATGTTTCCACTCTTTCAGCTAGTAGAATACTCTTAGAATACTTCTGACTTCCCGAGCAGGAAATATATATATATATATATATTGACATTTATATAGTCACACATCCATACACATCCGGACATCTATATATATATATATATATATATATATTATATATATATTATATACGTATGTATATGCCACTGTAGAAGCCTCTTGCTATTCAAC